TCAGAAATACTGTAAGAAAATGAATTCAGTAGTTGTTCCATGGAAAAGGGGGTCTCACATATGAAGAAAAATGCTGGAATGTAGAGATCTGATTGAACATCAAATCTTTTGGCAAACAAAAAGGGGATCCTCACTTTTTTGGTTTGAAAACTGGACAGGTCTTGGGGCACTATATTTTTTGGTTCCTCAGGACTTTGGCATTGGTGAAACAGTACAAAATGTACATGAGGTTACCTTAGATGGTGAGTGGGATGTGGTCAGGCTATTTGAATTGCTTCCTGAAGACTTAGCAGTACACATTCTGGAGAAAATCAAACCTCCTTCATCTCAGCAGGTTCGTGACGTGCCTTGTTGAATGCTGGAAACAAGAGGATATTTTAGTGTTAAGTCAGCATGGGATTATACGAGAAGAAGAGACGAACCAAGAACAGTTTATAGGATGATTTGGGTAAAGGGACTGCCTTTTAAAATAGCATTTTTCATATGGAAAGTGTGGAAAGCAAAGTTACCTTTAGATGATTTCTTGAAAAAAGTAGGCTACTGCATGCCATCAAATTGTTGGTGTTGTGTACAGCCTGATGAGGAATCTCTTCAGCATTTGTTTTTTAGATCAGAATCTGCAAAGACAACTTGGAAGTATTTTCTATCGAGGGCAGGAATAGTTGTGGAGGGACTTACTTTGCACCAAGCAATCACAAAATGTTGGACTGCAAATGTGTGCTTAAGGCTCAAACCAGTAATGCAAGCACTCCCCTCATGCGTAGTATGGGAACTCTGGAAAAGAAGAAATAGTATGAAGTATGGTGATGCTGTGACAACTAGCAGGGTGATTTACCAAGTTTCATCAAATCTCCAGGCATTGGTGAAAGTGAGAAAGCCTAGGATGGACATGGTACCTCACAAATGGAAAGATCTTCTAGCTATGATGGAAAATTTCACTCTCAAACTTAAGGTTACCAAAGTCTTGTGGAAACTTCCAAGTGCGGGATGGCTAAAAGTTAATACGGATGGGGCATCGAGGGGAAATCCAGGCAGGAGCTCAATAGGTTTTTGTATAAGAAATGAAAATGGTGACATAGTCAAGTCAGTAGGGAGGGAGATTGAGGAGACAACAAACACAGTAGCTGAAGCGAAGGCCATGGTAGAAGCACTAAGGTTCTGCAGATTTCAACAATACTCTCATGTNGATTTCGACAATATTCTTATGTATGGCTTCAAACTGACTCAATGTTATTAAAAAAGATAATGGATGGGATTTGGAAACCACCATGGATCATATCTGAGCAGGTAGAGGAAATGATGCAACTAATGAATGGGGGAAATTACACATTTACGCATATTCATAGGGAGGGAAACAAGCTGGCTGATCATTTGGCTAATTATGCTTTAGATCATGGAGAAATAGAATGCCAACATTTCTGGCATCTAGATGCACAGGGAAGGAGGTTGGTTAATGAAGATAAGCTGCAATGTCCAAGTCTAAGGGTGAAGGTGGACAGGAGATAAGAAGCAAAGTGAAAAGGAAGAGCAGGAGGCATGTCAACTTAAACGACCAATATATTCAAATCCTAAGGGAGAAGGGTATTTCTATCGCGCAGCACACTAGGAATTGGCATGGAGGGCTGCGAGAAACCATGTATTGTAAGCACATGGTTTATTGTGAAAAGCGTGAAGCCTGTCTCTTGGTCTGGGCAGCGCAATCGAGCAAAAATGAATGCAGGAAGGGAAGAACAAAGCACATGCGTGGAGGGTAGCAACTGCCACAACAAGAGCAGTTGGGATGTGAAATTTGGGAGTAAAATAAAAAAAGGGAGGCACGCATGCTATCACATAGAAAGGCACGATGGAAGGTAAAGCATGTTGGACATGAATGCTTTTGATACTTGAGCATGCAATACTTTAGCTCAATTCGAAAAATAGTAGACCGTGTCCATGATAAAGCAAGGCACGAAATTGGGTTGGACATAAATTGCACGCTGCAATTGTTTATCTCGATGCTGGAGCTGCACGCATGGCCTAAGCATGGGGTGGAAAATCGTAAAGCAAAAAGGCATGCACAATATTTTATTGGAGTGCCTTAAGAGGTGGGGGAGTGTCCTTTTAGGACGAAATATCAAGCTGGAAATGCAAAGCATGCTGAAAGTGCTACTTTGATATCACATTGCTGGAGATGGCTACTATCACAAGAATAATTCAAAGATTGCTTATACAAGCAAAATCTGGGCAGTGGCTACATGGTTTGGACACTCGTTCTAATAAACTGCAGGGGCAAGATTCATCATTAACCATATCAGTCCATATATGATACCAATGTAGAGCTACGTTCTCAATATTGGTAATAGGTATTATATAATAGTCATAGTTACTTTTCCATTGCGCAAGGCAACATGACATTTTGTACGTTATGTTTTGTTTGGATTTATATATATAATAAAACTAGCCCTAGGCGGTTGCCTAGCGGATTGCAAAAAAAAAAAAAATTAAAATAGCCACTAAAACCCTTACAGAATACCCTAGGCCACATATTTAGCTGCCTTTGTTATTGTCAGTAAAGATCCATTTTATTGCGAGTAAAAGAGAACCTTTGTAGTGGTATTTGTAATGATCGGGAAAAGATGATTTCTAACAATTTCCTTATTACAAGTAAAATTTAAGTGTTTTGCTATCATTTCTGTTGACCAATATGCCCAATTATATTTAATAGTAAGCATAATACATTTCATTAAATCCACGATAAATAAAAATAACTACTAATCCAAAATTTCAAGTGTTAATAACACAAGAAAAAAAGGGGGGATTTGCATCTATACCCGCTTTTTGGGTCACATTTTAATTTGTTCCCGCTTTGCAAAACAAAATTGCAATCGTACCCACTTTTTCGCATAATTTCAGCATACGGGGGTGAAGTAGCAAAGACAATCATGCAAAACTTCAGCATTCTAGTAGACAGGCCTGGAGTAGCAAGTGTACTGAACCAAGTGTGCTGAAGTTTTTGTTTGTAATTGCTAAACTTAAGCATAGTAGCTGAAGTTTTGTTCTCTATTTGCTGAAGTTTTTGTTTGTAATTGCACTAAATGAGTTGAAATTTTTTTGTCCCGGATTCATTAGTTTAGTCATTAAGCTTTTTCAAAAACTTCAGCAGAAGATGCTGAAGTTATTTAGTTCATTTATAAAAGCTTCAGCACTAAATAAGCTGAAGTTTTTTTGTCCTGAATAAGCTTTTTCAAAAACTTCAACAGAAGATGCTGAAGTTATTTAGTTCATTTATAAAAAATTCAGCACTGTCTTGAATTCATTAGTTTTGTCATAAAGCTTTTTCAAAAACTTCAGCAGAAAATGCTGAAGTTATTTAGTTCATTTGTAAAAACTTCAGCACCATATAAACTAAAGTTTTTTAAAAAGCTTTCTAACATAGTAGATAAATAATCAGGTTACCAACAATATCTAAATCATAAATTTTGAAAACAATAAACATAAAAAGAACAGAATTATCATTGTCTACTAACTTACATACGTGAAAATATTCACAAATTATTGTCTACTAACTTACATACGTGAAAATATTCACAAATTATTGTCTACTAACTTACGTAATTATTTATAATTTATTTTTAAATAATCTGATAAACATATTTATGACAATCATCCTATAAACTGAAGTTTCATAGCAGCACCAACAACAACAGAAGAAAGAAGAAGAAGAAAACGAAGGAGGAGAAGGAGGAGAGGGGGATGAAATTGTTTAAAAAGTGGGTACAATTTAAAAAATTTTAAAAAATGGGAATAGGTTAAATGGAGGCGACCAAATAGGGCGCCTCGTGCAATTTTTACGAAAAAAGTAAACTATTTGAATCCAATAGCTAGTATAATTTTGCATCTAATAACTATTGTTACAAAATAGCTATAATACTACAGTAAACATCATACAAAAAAATTTCCAACTCTTGATCAGAATGATTTCTTCCATATGCCCAATTATCAAATGTGATAGTGCTTGACCTGAAATGATAAAACAAAGAGAATATAAATATGACTAGGTATAGAATATAATTCTATTATTGAGTTAGACAACATTTAGTAGAATATTTCAGGAAATGTATGAAAAAGGGATGTATAAAGAACATATGGTCAGCAGGTTTCTTGATATGTACATATTACAAATTATATTAGTATCATCTAGCTTATATCCTGAAAAACCTTGAACTAGAAGAACTACCACTAGATAATTCCATAAAAAAATATTTAACTTTAATTTTCACCTGTAACTTCCACAACTTTTTCAAACAGGTTGCTTCAGATTTTTATACTCAGGTTTTAAAATCAAAATTGTGGCTAGTAGTGAATAATTTTCTCTTAACGGTAGAACTTGAGTTAACGGTGTAACTAAGTTGAATTGGTATAGCGCCAAATTTATCCACCCACTCCACCAGTAAAGGAATAAGAACATGAAATATCTTATTCATATCCCTTGGACAGAACATGCTCCCTTGGATAGGACATGTTTATCAAATCAACATTCAAACTCAAATAAAGGAGCAAGGCATCAGCGGCAGTCGAAGACAATATTTTACCGTATGATTTTTTTTTCTGAATCAGTTGTTTTATTCTATGAATTTTTTCGTGCTAATGCTCTTATAACTTGTATGTCGGCTCTATTCAATTGACTCCGACAAGCATACTGCTTATTATTTTTTTAAAATAGTTCATACAGATCAAAAAATAATTGAAAATTGAATGTAAAAAATATATATCAGAAAGCGTAGTGACAAAATATAGATACTCAATCAATTGCATATAATATGACATATGTTAGGGATATATAAAACTGACCTAGTGAAATAAAAATATACCAAGGAGAAAAAAAGATGAATCTTCATAAGACTCATACCTGGCATATATAGGTCGATTTCCCACCCATGTTAGTTTCTTCAATAATCTGAACCAACCCTTGACCTGGAAGACCAAAGAGGTTGATCAGAAATCACACAACACATAAAAAACAGAGACAACATCACTGCAATGTAGAACACGCACTAGTTAACAGGTATTAGGGATGAAATTACTGCAGGCATTAAGTAAAATCTGTGTCATGTGAATCATATTCTTTCACAAAAACCAAACATGATATTTTGTTCTCTTTCTTATATTATTTATCTAGTTTTTTGAAAGCAAAGAATCAGAGAAACAACAAATAAAAGATTGCATTACAAAATAAAGAACTTCTCTCTGAGTATCTAGTCAATCAGATTTATGTGGTTCTCATAGAAAACACGCCTTTTATATGTCCAATATTATATATCCGTGATTTGAATTTTTGAGTTAAAATTATGAAATTTAACTTAATCGTCTAGTCAGTACTCACATTATAATGAGTGCTTATGTATCCTAAAGAGTCCTTATAGATGTACTTTCACTATCTTTCCAAACCATCTAAATAAGTACACAACTTTTCAAAAATTTGTTTGATAAAAGTATTTAAGTTCTGTAATTACGTACAGATAACAAAAGGTGGACAACTATTATGGGAAATTCTTTCTTTCCTTCTTTGTAAGAATTGTGGCATGACCATATACGTACACGTTTGAATCATTTACCTTATTGATTTCCTGGTTTTGCTTCTCCGCAGTGGAGGAATGAAGATAAAAGAGAAAAGAATAATGAGATTTTAATACAGTTGCACCACTAAACTGCATCTTCAATCACAAGTTACTAAAGATTGGCAAAAAATAAATTTCAGCTTTTTTTGTAAGATTATTTTGTTAGCATTCTGCATATATCCAGGAGAGAAAATAAAGGGCAACCATGGGCAATGAGGCCGTTACAGAATAAGATACTCTTGTGTTTGAAACATAGGTACACTACCTCGGCGAATTATTGAATTAGTCGTTCAAACCCCTGAAAGCAATTACTCCCTCGTTTCAATTTATTCGAATCTATTTTCTTTTTGGTCCGTTCCAAAAAGAATGAACTCTTTCTAAATTTGGAAATAATTTAGCTTAAACTTATAATTCTACCCTTAATGAGAAGCTTTTATAACCACACAAATTATCTGGGCCCCTTTTTAACTTATTTAGGACCACAAATTCCAAAAGTCTTTATTTTTTCTTAAACTCCGTATCCAACCAAACAGGTTCACATAAATTCGAACGGAGGGAGTACATATTTTGGGTAATCAGAAGTTAGTCCAGGGAGGAAAGGACAGAAAGCAGCTTTAGAAACCTCAATCGGCACAAGAATTTAAAAGTGTGCACTGTCAAATGCTTTAAAATTATTGGTATCTTTCAAACATGGGAAATCGTTAATTATCAGACAAAGATAAATCCAAGAGATACATTTAACATAATACAAGTACACCATGCCTAAAGCTTTTTGCTCATAAATAAAAGATGTCAAATAACTCCAAACAAAAAATAAAGACAAGGTAAATTGCACAAGTTTAACTTTAATTAGTTCAGGAACTTCGCAAAAATCATTGTCCAAAATTAAATGTGACAAGTTGCGAAAAATAACTCCTTCATACCTGCAAAGATTTTCAGCTGTAAATCTAAGGCAAACAACTTTTAGTTCGGGGCATGGAACGACCAGCAATCGCAAGAGTTCTAGATACAGAGTTCATAGAGAATTAAAATTAGATCAGGAATTTGAAGAAATCACCACATGTTGCCACAATATCTCAACAAATACTTGCAAGTGATCGATCAAAATGGGTATAAAAGAATATTCTAGCAAGCCAAAAATCAACCATAAATCATCAGTCTTCCGCATTCTCATTGTAAACATTGAAATCATATCTATATAAACCAAAAATAAGCAAAAACATAAAGCTATACCTGTCAAATGGGCAATAACCAGTAGTCTCCCACTTATTATACATGTTTCTTGTCTTCTAGTTTGAAGGTTTTTGGGTTGCTCAATATTATTATCTACAAAAGAACGCCATTACGTACACTGTAGAAGGGAACAAAAAGGCAAAATTTTCATTAGAAATATAATACATAGTATCTTTCTTTTGAATAAATAGCATAGTATTCCAAACTTCAGTCCACTAAAATAATCAAGGCACTGTGACAATGCTAAATAATCCATCTCAATCACATAGCATTCAACTATATACACACTAGATTGGTACTTGTATTATGGGAATTACCAAATAAATTGAACATAATCTAAACCAGACAACAATAAGCACAAAATATTTACTAAAATAAAAAAAAATAGCGAAAAAATAAAATAGGAAAAAAATGAACAGAAAGAAAACTAAACCTAGGGCTCAATAATGATGTTGGTGATGGAGAAAACTGACGAGAGGCAAGATTGAGACAGAAATCAAGCATCAACAACCAAGAAAAATCGAAACATAGGGATGAGAGATAGAGAAAGATCGACAGACAGAGAGAGATAGTGATATAGAGAGATAAGTCGAATTACCTCGTGATGGTTGTCGATTGTGGTGATGCCGCCACCGATGGCTGAATATCTCAAATTGGGAAATAGTTCAATTTGGGTGTCTGTTCTAGGTTTACAAGGAAGGAATGAGGAGAGGGAGGGAACAATAAAAAAAATTGGAGGGAAGATAAAGTTAGAAAAAATTGCTTTCAATAATTAGTACTAACTTTTATAGAGGCCATTTTCTTCATTTGCCAGTGAAAGGTCCTAATTCCCGGTTAATATCAAATCGTCGCTAACATTTGAGTTCAAGGGATAAATTACCAGCAAATAGTCTATTGCCGCTAAACAATGGCCACTAAAAGTGTTTTTTCTTGTAGTGAGAGGTGTTGATTGTGTGAGCATGTGCTTTTGGACTTATATGTCCGGTAGTACCCCTATTAGTGGAATTTGTGGCTGGATGGCTACGTGATGAGTATGATGTGACTGCGAGATGTGTTCATATGATTTGAATGTGATGAGAAGGGTCTGCGTGAGGTGTAGAAAGAACTATTTAGTGCTTGATTTCCATCTTGATTTGATGTATAGCCCCGAGTTATGGGTGTGTTAAAGGATCTTTTCATGTTGTTTAGTTGAGGAGTGAAGTAGATTTCATATCGTGATATGAGTTCAGACTCAGGAAGATTAAGTGATTGCGTAATGTTTATGATTGTGGAAGGGTATAGAGAGAGGTCAGCTTGAGGTGAAGCAGGTGGGTTATCTCCTGCAGGGTGTCCTGAGGGTTGTGTGATCCCTCTGTTGTTTTGTAGCGAGTCCTCTTTTACTAGTGAATTATATGTGTTGCAATTTGAGTTTGGATCGCTTATGAAAGTGGGCTTAAATAGTACAAGGGTGAATGCGAGATTTGCAGATGATTAGAAATACTAGATGGTTTGTGTTGCACGAGCTTATAAAAGATTTAGTTGAATCTCACTAAGGCATTATCGCAGTAATAGAGTATGGATATTATGAGTTATTATGTATTTTGATCTATGGCTTTGAGCCAAGTGGGAGAGCCTGCTATTGATCAGTTGATTGCACGGTTATGTGTTGTATTGGTTTTAGTTTGAGGTATACTAGTAAATCAGTTATGGCTTACAGAGGTTGAGATCGAGGATGACTTGAGTAAAGAAAATTTGGGATAAGGTTTGTGTTATGATTTATGGGTATATGAGAAACATTGGATGTTTAGTTGTTGTTTGTAAGGGATGTAACGTGTATGGAGTAGGAAATCGCTCGGCGGCTTAGAAGAATGGGTTACTTTCTTATGTTTTGCTGTACTAATGGGACACAGGTCGTTCGATTCATTTGATCAGTTTAATTGAGACCTGAGTAGAGTGGATGACTCTCGAGAATGGTTCTAATAGATTTAAGATTTATATGTAACAATTAGGGATCTTCAGGATGTGTAATTGGCTAGAAACTGAGATTTACATTGGATGATGTCAAGACTTGTGGCATTTCTATATCATTATAGATTCTATATATCGATATTAGGAAGGTGAAGTTAATGGCTTTAGATTCTTAGGAAGTCTCTTCAGGGTAAGTATTTTAAATGTGGTACTTTTGGGGATATTTAAGAGAGTATTCAGCGGCTTATGAGCCTTAGGGTGGTGTGGTTTTATGCTTGGGTCTCATCTGATGAGTCTGGGTTGAGGATTGTAGTATTATGGTGAGGGGGAGTATCAATTTGAAGGTAATTTAGAAGGAACTTGGAGAAATAGGATAGCTTGGTAGTAGGTTGGATCAACATGGTAATGAATATGATAGGTTCTTTGGGTGATTATGATGTGGTGGGTTTCTACATGTGTTTTGTGATGATACTATTGGGTTTTGAGCCTGCGTAGCATGGTTGAGTTAGAGAGATTCAGTTCTGTCAGCTTGGGTAAGTACAAATGGGTTTTGGAGAGTTCTTGATGGTTTCTATCGCGGATGAGATGTGTATTTCCTGCTGGTGTGTGACACATGTTGCGTATTGTGATTTTCTCCTGGATGGGATCAAATGAAAAGTTCTTGGCTAATTGAGTGCATAGTTTCTTGTGACTCGGAGTGGATTATGAAGTTCTAGTATTTTGCATATGATGGCATGGTATATGTGATGTGTCGTGTGGCATCGAGATTGGCAGGTGCAAGGTCATGGTTCAATTTTGAAGGGAAGGTCATGAGTCCTTAGGCAACATGGACAGTTTTAGATGACTAGGTAAATGATATTACTATATGGTATGACTTGATTAGAGTATACATTTCATAAGGGGCAATATACATTTCAGAAGGGGCAATGTGTTTTGATTTATGGATACTTCATCGTTATTGTGGCACTCTCCTGGTTGATCAATTGTTGATGTTCAAATTTTGCTTTGTGGCGCAGAAGAATTGTAGAAGTATTCCTCGTGGGATGGTCATTCATTGGAGAAGTGTTAGCCATGCAAGAAGTGGAGTTGAGATTAGATATGGTGATTCATGTACTCTATGGATTTGGAGACTGGGAGTTCACATAAGTAGACTGCTTCATGGTTATGGGCTGTGAAGTTGTGGCCGAAGATAGCCAGATGATAGTATGTGTTATGGTTAGGTCACTGTGGACTTTCAGAGGGTTATGTATCTGTTTGTAGGTGAGTAGAGTGGATTTGGGGTCCATTGACAGGCTCAATTGGGATGTGTATTCTACACCGAGTCGGATTGGTTGGCTCCATACTGCTATTGTTGAGGGAGGTGTCGTTCAATTGTTGTTGAGCTTATTCGTTTTCTGAAATGATTTGTGAGTTACCCTTCTATGTTACGAGGAGTTGTGAATTGTTGGTTATATGCACACGTGATGCGGTTCTATTTGGGCTTATAGTGGGAATTTGAGTAAGATGAGTATTCGGGTATTGTGTGATTGATTGCGCATTGGCTATGTTCTTTTCGGATGATGCCATTGTGTTATTTGCTCTTCGTGGTTATGGTAATGTACTTTAGGTACTTGATGTCAAATTTCGTGTGGTGATTGATTTTGAGCAAGGCGGCTCGAGGAATATAAAATGAACCGCCGTTTGGATGAGATCACACATTGCTGTGAAGTTATGTTGAGATATGATCCTTGGTGTCGGATTCGTGCGTTTTGGTTCTACGATGTGTGCTAGGCTCTTAGCATGGTGTTGTGATGGTACTTGTTAAGTTGGCGGGACAATTCTCTTGTTTGAGTCATTTTCATGATTGAGTACATTTGGGATGTTGCTATTGGGTGCACGAATTGCATAGGTTATGGATTTGGGTTGTACTGATGTGTCATGTCACTAGAGTGGTCATGTTGGATGAGATGAGGTCATTGGACTTAGAATGAATACTATCAGAATTGATTACAGCATGGTTGGAAGGATAATATCAAAAGTCGGCTTAGAAATCTGCTATAGTTCCTGTCGGAGAAGAGGGAGCTCCATGAATTGTTGATCTGACGAATGGTTATGAGTTTCGGTGTGTTTCTTTCATCATTCGCAGTATACGAAGGTGTTAGAATGAGGCTTTGTTTGATAAGAGGTTTATGTTTACCGTAAAAATGGTAACAACAATTAAATTTGTAAATGGGATTCTAAAAATACGTGATCTATTTTTATGTTAGTTGTTAGAGCAGTTGATGCTAAGAGTATGAAGTTTAACGAAGAGATACAAGCTAAAACGGGGCAGTAATCAAACCCAGGGGCTTGCCGCCCGAGCCTCGGACTGGTCGATAGAGAAGCCTCGAGGTCGATATCCGGCTCGAGCTCGAGCTATCAGAGGTAATCGGAAATGGGGTAATAGTTAGGGTATGATCAAACAAGGCCCTTTATGGCCAATGCCAAGCAATAAATGAAGAACAAATATGAAACTAATAATTGCTAAGAGTGGCCTCGAGCTAGTAAGAACGAGCAAGTTAGAGAGAAGAAAGAGAGAGAGATATTATTGATCTTGTGGAGAATAGTTGGAGCAACACCCTCCCTTTACAAAGTAGTTTGGGTTACCCTTATACAGGAGGGTAATCCGGTTATAGTACAACATATATTAATTATAAAAGCATGAAGATGGGACGGCTAGATGTGATGCCTCGACATAGGCTCTGGGTAGGCCGGCTCAGTCAGACTTAGTCGTGTGCCTTGGGAACTTCCCCTTTTGCTCTAGCCTCAACCTTTGTCTTCTTTGAGTCGGGCCTTGACGAGCCTCGAGGGAGGGGAATCGGTCGCGACTCCACGTCCCTGGGGTCTCGAGGTATTCTTCCGAAGTGGCTTGATCGCGAGAAATGAAATCCTCTAATTTTTCCGCATATAGATAGTCTCCGCGTTTCCCAAAACAAAGTGATGGGAAATGATTCTGACACCTAACTCCACGAGCTTCTCACGGTGACGTCATACCAATGATGTAACCTGTGGCGCGAGCTTTTGCGGCGATCGAGATGTCCCGTGGACTTGTGTGTTTGACATCATTTGATGCACTGTCGATTCCCGTTCTACAAGATAAATGTACCGTCGTCAATTCGGTTCTTCAAGAATGCAGTAATTGCATCCGCCGGTCAATCTTCCAAAGTCTCGATGACCGTGTCGTTACCCCCTATAAATGGGGGTGCTTTGGCGTTGTTTTTCTATCCAAGTACCTTCATTAGCTCATTTGCCCATTTCTTCTTATCTTCTTCCTCTATCCTTGAACATTATGTTTGGGGATCATGGCTTCAAGGCCGTTCGGCAGAGCTCCCGTAGGCTGTGTTGAGGCCTCTTTCTAGAGCTTCCCTTTGTCAAGCATAACCATGCCGTCATGTCGCTACTATGGTTGTTGTTATGTCTACTATTGCCGCTCTTGTTTGCTCGAGATGATGACATATGGGGGTCAACTTTCCTTGTTCGCAAAAAGCTCTTATGATTATATACCGCTGCTCAAAAGGGGGCTCGGATTATACACCTCTGCTTACCTTCATACCCCAGCTCGACGTGGTGCTCTGCCCTGAGCTGGTAGCTTGCACGACTAGATGTTCCAAGAAGTAGACTCTAAGTAGCCGTGTAGGCGGGACAGAGGCTCGCTCGGTCCGCTGTCTCTCCGAGGTTCTCTTGGCCAGCGAGGGTCCTCGACCTTCGGAGAGCTATGGCATTTTTTCATTCCTCCCTGCTTCTCGCCCTATCCTTTGGGGATATCATTGTGGAAGGCCGGGATGAGGCTTCTGAGGATGTGTGCCCGAAGGTGCCTGTTGCAGAAGGCGGACCTTCAAAGGTAGACCAGTCTCTAGGCTTTTATCACGTGTGTGCACCCTTTTGTTTCTTCCTTTATGCGTAAGAACCCCTTGCGGGCTTTTGTAATTGTATGTAAGGACCCTTCGAGGGCTGT